TCTAGTACCCTCCCCGCCTCACCTCATAAATTAAATACCCTGGAGAAAACCTGAAGAGTTGAGATCAATGCTTTACAAACTGTTTTCTCGTGACCACGCATCGCAAGTTAGTCAAAAAACTCATTTGCATTAAACCAGCAGTTCCTTAGGGGAAGATCAGTTATTAAAAATCTGTTTCAGTTGACGGTAAAATGAGGACAATACCTATGAGAAAGGGGGCTTAAGTACACATGTTCAGAGCAAAAAAACAACTTTTGACACAAAGAATATTCTGTACTTCATTAATCTATCACTAAGTAAAGAGATCATACTGCCACTTTTCAGTACGTAGTTTAGAACTGGCAAATGGAATATATTTATTACTACGCTAACAAGAAGCTAAGAATTCTTAAAAACCAGTTACGAAAGAGCTATAAAGAACTGATTTATGGTATTGCATTATATACCTGACACTGTATGTAAATTGTAATCAATTCAAGGACGTTCATCCTAGAACCTTAGGAATCTTGTACTGTTTAATCTTATATGGTCAAATCCTGACCTTGTTCAAATACAGGAGGAAGGCTGAATAGCACAGGTAACAACAGCAGTGAAACTGTGGTAACATGGGATTTAGCACATTATAGCAACAATGAGGCATACTCTCCAGGGTCCTTAATTGCTAGTGTGGGATAAAGCCCAAGCTATTAGTGCTACCCAAGTTACCTAGATTAAGCCACCACATGTGTTCCAGTACTTGGTACAACCACACGGTCCTCTTGCCATGTGAAGGTGAAGAATTTTCATCTGTGCCAGGGTCAGAAAAAATGGGACAGTGGAACGACCTACAAGATGGAAGGCTTGCTTACAATTAAAGGCAGCCCAATATTCAGGGGCAGAAGGGGCACTTCCTAGCTCTGTTTAAAATGCAAATGGTTAATATGTGTACGGTACTTGTCCTAATCTGTTACCTGCTAAATTCCAACTGACACCACATTTGAAAGAAAACTCAAATTCAGAGTTACTGCATTTTTTGTCATCATTGGCTGGCTGCCAGAAATATATGATGACACCATAAGGCTGGAAAAGAAAGGAATCATATTTAAATCTTTTCTTATACACGGAACATACCCACATACCAATTTGACTTCAAAGATTCTAATGTTACATAAAACAACACAAGAACATTTGGTGCGCACGCTCATAGGACACTTAATCATAGTGCCCTTGCTTTGACACTGTAATCTTTCCAGTTATTTTGCAATTAGCATGAGGTAAGGTATAATTTTAATCCTGTACAGCACATACAAATGTCAGCATGTTTCAATGGGTGTACTTCTAAGGAAGAATCTGGTTCTTTATACTTGGTATTTTTGTGTAAATTGTAGAGATTTGCTGTCTGCTACAGATTCATTTATGTTGTAAATTAGTATAATCGTTTAACAAATTTAACATCACACAAAAAAGATCATCCTAACAGATGCTGATATAGTCTTTCCCCTTAGGAACTAAAGTATCAAATCATTTGAAGCTAGCCAATAATTGTTTGCCTTTTTACTAAAAAGTACGAATGACTTTTGCTTATATCACACCTGTGAGTAAAGAAATGCTTCTAATTCCTTGAAAAGAAAAATTCTAGCACTATCTACTGTGATCCATGAGTGCTTAATTAGTAGCAGACAGATCTGCATTTACCAAAAGTTCTCTCTTCACTGAGAAACATGATTTACTGGAATCTTTCAGGGACCTATGTGAATACTACAGGTGGACAGAATGAAAAATTACAAAATAACGAAAGCAAATATAATATAGACAGAAGTCTGAAATATTTTAAAAGGCCCTACACAAATGAAACGTAACATTCACACAATTTATCTGTATATAAATAATACACATCGACTGCTAGCTTCTCAATTATACCACTGCAACTATGCTGGCTTCTTCAGAATTATGTAAGTATTAAGGACAACAAAAATATGGCCCAGCAAGATTTGTAATTAACTAAATAGTCTCCAAGTTTCTGAACAAATGACATAGTTACAATGGTATAATTTACACTGGTTTCATACATCAGTGTAAATTATACCACGACTGGGAGAGGACAGACATACAGCTATCTAGAGTAGTTTCAGGTAATAGGTGCAATTACAGTGACTAACCACTAGGTGGCAGGGGAGCCATTATTAACCTGCTGATCTTGAGCAAACCGGTACACCAGGATAACCTGCAAACAGACTGCACCTACAGCAGTTACGCTAGTATACTTTCACTCCTGTTTTTCCTCAGGGTAATTCAACATAAAGTCTGAGGAAAGCTCCGGACATTCATACCGGTGTAACGTATACTGTTTTGTACAGCTACATAAATAATACTGCAATCTGGAGCAGGCCATCAATCAGCTACCCAAAGGTAGCTTCTCTTGTTTAAGTATCACAACACCTTACCTTGTTGAGGGAACATGCAATAGCCCGTCTGTCTTCAGCAAACAACTACCCTTGGAGAGGTGCAAAAACATGATGCTTACATCAGTGTTAATTGTTCTTAAGCTATTTTTCTGCCAGATTAAAGTTATGCAGGGGCTGTGTCACCTGTCAGTTCACTGTTTAAATTGACTGTTACAGTAGACACATCTACACATGCAATTAATGCAACTTAATATACTCCGGCACAATATGAGCTGGAATAAACTAGTTCCAATGTCACTGTCTACATGCACATTTAAGCACAGTAATTTACTGTGCTGCCGGACACTGCTCGTATCTGACAGGACTATCCGGTACAATAGTAAATTAGTCTGCTGCACCCTAATTGTTACTCATGTAGAGACAGTGATGCTTTACTGAGCAGCAAATTAGTCTGCTATGCAATAAAGCATCTTGTGTAGATGTGCCTAGTTTGTGTTAGATAATATTTTGCACTTACGGTCTTTCCTTTTTCTTTTTCTTCTTAGCTTGCTAGTTTGAAACCAGCGAGCCAGGGCATATGTTTGACTCCCTGTTCTCTAAATCGTGAGCCATAAAGACACAAGACATGCTAAGATGACAAACTGGTATTCAATTAAAATTTGCTCCCTTAGCCACAGCCTGTGATTTTTTATTTGCGATATTTGAATGAACCCTGCCCCTATAAGGAGGCAGTAAAAAGGCTCTCTGTAGCCATAGGAGCTGCTCTGGTATGATCAGGGCTGTTCTTGGCAGCTGCTGTCCACTCTTGCTGCAGTAGCTCAGCAGCTCCCCTGCTGTCTGCCAACTGGATCATAGGGGAGGGAGGGGGAAAGAGTTCTGCCTGCTTCCCTACCAAAACACAAGATCTCCAGGGACAGCAGAGTAGAAGCCCAAATGGTTGTGCTTTATCCTTGGGGACTGCAACAACAAAGAACGGCTCCTTTTCCCAGCATAGCCCCTACAGGAATCAAAAAGGAAAGCTGAGATCCAGCCCCCGATTACAATGTTTTTCCCATCCTAGCACAAGTTAGCACAAGCCTGTTGGCTGCTCTAAACTTATACCAACTTACTGTGGGCCTCAAGAGACCATCCAAGGTCAGCTAAGATTTCCTAGAAGCATAACTTGCTTCAGTTGCTCCTCCTATCCCCAGGGCTACACGGAGGGAAGTGTGGGTGCTGGTTATGCCACCATAACACCTCACAGAGCACACCTCCTCTCCCCACCAAGGGAAATTTGAAGCAGAGGACTTACAGGTAAGAATCTATTCCCTTTGCATCACTTAGAGACTCTGTTTCAAGAGTACTGACTGTGGCCCCTTGACCTTTTGAAATAATGAACTTGGCAGCTGAAAAGGTTACATGCTGTTGCTTCATTTTATCAGTACCCATGTTTCACCATAGGGTTTTACAACACCTAATGTATGACAAATAATTCAGTCTCAGTTATAGATCAGTAGTAGTTAACAGCATCTTGCACTGAAGTATCAACATAAAGAAAAGCAAAGATGGTGTTTCTGACTTTCTGCGTAGGTTCTTCCCATAGCTAGCTTTCTAAACTCCACCTACACTTTTACAAGTTTAGCCTCTAAAGGTACAACTTCTAAACCGATCAGTCAGAACAATGTTACCACAGTACAAGTTTCTGGAAAAGTGACATTTAGCTATATACGTGTATACTTTCTCTCTCACACATCAGTTTCTTATGTAATACCGTGGCACAGGTGATGGAAAGTTAAAACAGAGAACACATAACTTAAGTACACACACACACAAAGAACAGATGCTCATTTTTCATCCAAGCTGAGAAAGGTCAAGTGAATGACTTTTATAGACAGGATAATCACATTTTCCTTGAAATAATCACTGGCAGTTTATCTAATCTTTTTTTTAATTCCTTCAGATATTCACCTCAGTGTTCTTGCATAGCTGAGACAAATGCGGACAAAAAAGGGTCCCAATCCTGCACATCTACTCAAGTAGCCCCGCTGAACCCAACAGGATTACTCAGGATGTAAGACTTCTATAGCAACCAAGGCTTGCCAGAATCAGCTTCTTGCACTGTGCCCCTTACTACTAATCGCACATAAAACTTGCCAGCTAACATGATTTGCTTGACACCTGCTATTCCACTTGCTCCCCCATCTCTCAACCTTTCTCCTTTCAGTTCTTTCACTGCTCTATGTTTTCTAGCAAGTACTTGTACTTCTACACAGTGCAGTAAAGTGACAGATTTCTGAGGTCACTTTAAAACTGTTAAGAGAAGGGAAATAATTGTCTACAGCACATAGAGGTAAAAGTCTGCAGCAGCATTCAACTTTCAGGAGTATTTGTACCCTTCGGGCATTGACTCAACATTTTTAGACAACAAGAATACGAATAACTCGAGTTAGGGTTGCTTCTGTATTTTCAATATAAATTACTTTTGAGGATCCAGTCACTCAGATGTCGTCACGTTCACGCTGAGCTAATAAACTGGTTTACACGTTATAGGCAGCAATGCTTTTCTTCCCTTGTAACAGCTTTTAAAGACTTTTACTTAATGATACAATAAACTGGGTTAACAGCTTGATTCTTGTCTCTGTATTTTAACTTACCTGGATTTGGGGGGAAAAAACCCAAAAAAACTACTTGGCAAGACTGTTGTCTGCAATATAACTTGATTCCATTTTAGGGGTTATGAAAGTAAAAAGAAAAAAGTGTCATAAAGGAGCTCATACTTTGAAAAACGGGTGCAGCACGCACAGAGATTTCTCCGGTAAATGATTTTAGTATGTATTGGCAAAATATAGACTAGCTAAACAACACAGGAAACTAATATACATTTTAGCTACAGGAAAGCTTTGGCTAACAGGCACAGTCCCTGATGTAAATGCTATAACTTGGTTTATAAGCCCGATTACAGCTGAATTCATATTACGGTGTATTTTCAAGACACCCAGACCCCAAAGGAACCCTGAAAACTTCAGTCAAGGCTTTTCAGAACAAGACAGGAGGCATTTTCCCCTCTCATTTCCCACGCGCAGCCACTTTTCGAATGTCAGAGGGGCTCCCCATTTACCAGCCTGCAGGACTAGCCCATAGGCACTGAAGCCTCCCCGTCTTGCACAACTGCCCGCAGCCCATCCTGGCGCTGCCCGGCCAAGGCGACCGGCAAGACTCACTTTGAGGCGCTAAGGACCTGGGCACAGAAATAGGCATGAGCGGGAAGCCTCTCTGCTTGGGACCCCAGGCTGGGTCTAGCAGAGCCCGGGCGCGGGTTACACCTTCTGGGAGCCCGGCGGTAAATCGGGAGGCATCTCATGAGGCCTCCAAAACAGATGGAAACAAGCCGCTTTTATTTGCGTTCCCTCCGCCCAGGCAGGAGCCTCCCCCGCTGCCCAGCATCCGCTAAGCCACATGCCCGCGGACTGTCCCGGGTCGGACGCGACTCGGCACCGCCGGGGCAGCAGCGAGGCAGAGTCAGGTGCCCCGGGCCCGGCGGGCCGCTTACCTGCGCCTCTCCCAGCTCGGGCTCCTCCTCGTAGTAGCCCTGCCCGGACTCGTAGGCTGCGGCGGCGGGCGGCTGCCGGGGTCCCAGCAGCAGAGCGCAAACCAGAGAGCAGAGTCCCGGCAAGTGCATGGTGCGCGGGTGGCGGGGCGGGGGCGCGGCGCGGGCTCCTGCTTCTTATGGCCTGGCCGCCGCCCCCCCGGGGCAGGCACGCCTAGGGGGT